GTTCCTTACCATAAATGCAGTAGAGTGTACACCACAACCCTACTCTACTTGTTCAAGAGCTTATATATATGGGTTTCTTATGGGCTGAGGGGCTTCAGGGTTTAGGGTCTGGGGTCCTCATGAGGTTTGTCTTGAAAGGGTTTTGCGCTGGGACAGGAGCTGCATTGTTTTGGTGCGGGGTTCAGTGATTGGAATTTGGGAATCTCTAGAATACAGGAAGCGTAATTTGTTGTCTTGATCAGAAGGATCCTACATTTAGGGATTATGCGTTCTGAAACACCCAGGTTGGGCGACGCAGACCTTCCAAAGTCCCTTAAGTAAGGAATATACCTTGAATCATACTATGGATCCTATTATAGTTTAAGGCATATTCCTTAATTAAAGGATTTTGGAAGGTCTGGTACTCTAAGAGATCTTTGGTTTTTAGGGTTTCCGCAAAACCCGTGGCATTCGAAGTCCTACGCCCTCGCTGCTGCGGGCAGGAAGTAGTTGGAGGATTCATGGGACTTGGAAAGTAGGGTTATAAGTAGCCTAATTGGGGTTATAAGTAGTTATATATGAACATAGTTATTCTAATTATAACGCTAGTTACTAAGTCCCATGATCCTTTAAGTAGAAGACCCTGTGAACAAAAACCCTGGACGAACGGCAAATGGCAGGATGCTCGCGCAACGGCTGCGACTAGACAGCCTCACCGGCGTGCGGTGCCCGGCAGACTTAAAGATGCTTAGTCTACCCTAAACCCGAGAGCACTGAAAATGCTGAAGCCTTAATCAAAGCCTTGTGCCCCAAACCCTAGACCCTAGACTCGAGACCCTTTCTGAACCCTAAACCCCTAAAGAGACGTCGCCATTATAGGTCTCTGAAAGGGACTCTTAAAGGAACCCTCAACCGTCACTCTGAGAGTCCCTCAGCATGCCACAGGCACAGGCACCTGGAAGGCCTTCGGGCGAGAGCTGGCTGCGAAGATCGCCATGGCCAATTGCAAGCACCCAGGTTCCGATGACGCCGCCACCGCTGCGTTGGCCACGCCGATCACTTCGAGCACCTCAACAACTCCCGCGTGTCGACTGTTGTGAGGACTGCTGGCGAGCGCGTTCGACGCATCCGGTACGGACGCTGGAGGGTGAGACCAGCCTAGACGCGACATACAGGTTGACAAGTTCACGTACAAGGGGGTGTGGATGCTCATTCTGGTCTTTGTGAGTTGCGGTGCCATCGGAAGCCTGTTGTGGGAGCCCGGAAAGTTGAGCATGAGCACAGAGCTTATCCGATGGGCTAGGTCTGTTGGTGCGATCGGTTCGGAGGACGGCGAGCCAGCAATGATTACCGCGGTCGAAAGGAATAAGTATATCTTTATGCATACCAAGAACCCTTGTATACCAACAGATACGTTGCTTAACTAAGGGATTTCGGAGTCTTCAGGTGGAAAGAAACTAGTCACTAGAGTTCTATGCTCTCTGCTCCTTCTACAACCGTTCTGGAACCCTTACAAGCTCAACACTGTCCCATCATCCTCAACCACCCAAACCCTAAGCCCTAAACCCCAAATCCCAAACCTCAAACCCTAAACCCCAAACCCTTAACCTCAAACCCCAAAGCCGAAACCCTAAACCCTAAACGCCAGCCGCCCCCCCCCCCCCCCCCCACCACCCCAAGCCCGGAGCTCTGCCCAGCTCTTCGACGGATCGAAGACCTTCCACGTGGAGCCCAAGTACGACGGCGAACGAATCTTGGCCCACGTCGACCTCGAGGCACTTTCTTTTGGAAAGTTTTTTTTGTTTTTTTCAATGTTGGTTTTTTCAAAGATTTAGGATCCAGGTGATTTACATGTTAGGGTTGTTTTTGAGTTTTTTCCGGCGCTTGGAGTTTTTTTGGGTGGGCTTTGGGGTAGACACAGAATCTGGCCAGTAACCTTCGTGACATTTGTCGCTGCAAGAACACCCAAAATCCCAAACCCCTAACCCCTAGCCCCTGGCCAAATGCCATAAACCCTTACGAAGCCTTCAACATTTCTGGCAAACCTGAGCGTGGCTGTCGGGGTCTTTCTAGATGACATGTGTACTTCTACAGCAGGTGCTCGCGGCTTCAGTTTGATGTCTTCTCTAGGGTCGTCGCGATTTTGCAGGTTGATCGAAAGAGTACTCGTAAGTAAGCCTCCAACCCCACTTGCTTTGTGTAAGGCAATGTAGACTATGTTCATTAGCCTTGTTCCCGCTCTTACAGTCAGTGTTACGAACAGGCACAGACGACGTCCTCACGAATAAGCGATGGCCAGGGTATTTCGCAGCAAACCAATGGGATCAAGAGCTGCAGAACCATGAACACACTCAAGACCTGCTCTTGACAGTTATACTTCCTTGTGCCACGAACCGTAATAGCACTGGCAATCTGAAGAACTGAAGCAGCTGTGCTAGCAACGATGGGCGGAAGAGCAGCTACCACAGCAGCCGCACAGAGTACGGCACTTGGCAGCATCACCAGCAAGAAGCCGACTCGCAGAAAGGCTCAAAGCCATAGCCACAGCCGCAAAATGATAAAGGCCTCGGTGATACGGTTGATGATATGAATCCTGCATTACCTTAATTTGCCTTAGACTATGGTTGGGCGAATGCTCTATCATGCTATGGCCGCCTCTGCTATGGAGGATGTGTCTAGACGGTTGCTTGCACTGATACGCCTATCGGCCGGAGCTGATACACCAACTGATAGGCCTTCCGGGCTGAACTGATACACCTTCCGGGCTGAACTGATACACCTTCCGGCCTGAACTGATACACCTTCCGGCCTGAACTGATACACCTTTTCGTGTTCACTGATACGCCTTCCGGGCTGAACTGATACACCTTCCGGGCTGCACTGATACACCTTCCGGCCTGAACTGATACACCTTCCGGCCTGAACTGATACACCTTTTCGTGTTCACTGATACGCCTGCCGGGCGTGAGGCCTTAAGTAATTGTAACTAAAGCAGCTTATAAATCAACTCTATCAGAAACCGCAGTACAACCCCTAAAAATGCAAACCGAACGACCGTGTGCGGAAATTCGTGAAGTCGCGCGATGTGTTTTGTCTTCTTCAGGGCTTCAAGGGTTGAAGTCGAAGGGGTATTGGGCGGCCGAGCATTCCACCAAGCATTGAAAGCATTGAGGGCTCGCTTGACGTGCTGTGTTGTCCACGAGCAGCCGTTCAGCGCAGCCAACGACAGGCTCAATCCGAAACCAGGCCGGTCGATGACAGGCTCAATCAATCCATCAATCCTAAGTCCTAAGCCCCTAAGCTCATAAACTTCTAAAATTCTAAGATTCTAAATTCTAAACTTCTAAATTCTAAATTCGATTCTAAACCAAACTTAAACCATGCCCATGGATGACAGGCTGAATCCGAAACCAGGCCCCATTATAAAACAAACACGACCTCCTAGATCCCAACGCCCGAAGATCCCGAGTCTAGCCCTCAGCCAGACACTCAGGTCTTTTGCACTCCAAAACAAAACATGTGTGTGAGACCGTAGTATGACAATATCAGCTTGCGGCCATGAGCTTTCTGGATATATTCGATGCTCCGCTGCCAAGCTTTCTCGACATCTTCGATGAGCCACAGGACTCTAGACACTCGAACCACGCTAGACTCTAGTCTTGAGTCCAGAGTCTAGAGTCTAGAGAGACTCTAGACTCCAGATTCGACTCTTGTCTAGTCACAAGTAAACTTGTAAACCTCAGATGCGTGCCTAGATTCCCTAGATCCTTAAGCTCTCAGCCCCCCTAAACAGTCCTAAACTAAAACTAGACCGAAAGTTAAACTTGGCTTAAACTTAAACTTAAGGCCTTAACCGCCTTAAACGTAAAACCCTAGACAACTCCGAAGCATGGACGATTTCCTTCCTTGAGGAGGACACCAACGAATCCATTCGAAATTCCGCGGAGGCCGGTGCTGACCTATCTGGGTTTTGTAAACTTGTTGTACATAAGTTGCAACCTCTATGTCTGACTGAATGACCTGGGTGCTCATTGAACATCATTGAACCTTTGCCTGATAGATAGACCCCTTTCGGCTCCCCAAGCTTTGAACCCTGGACCACCAACAACTCAAGACTCAACAGAACTCTCAAGCTCTAGGCCCCAAAACTCCTAACCTCCTAAAGTCCTAAACTAAACTTTGCCCTACCCTAAGGCCCTATAACCCCTAAGTTCTAAGATTCTAAGTCCTAAGCCCCAGCATCCCAACTGAAGCCCTGCGAGCAGAAACTCCAGACCCTAAACTCCAAAACCCCAAAACTCCTAAACGGTCCCAGACGCTAGACACCGAAACCTCAAGGAGTCCAGAGGACTTCAAGGAGAAGCCGCCTCGAGCTCGAGAGAAGCAGATCAGGCCGGCCAGGCCGGTCGAGTTCTTTTGAGTAAACTTGAGTAAACTTTCGAGTACTTTATAGAATTTTAGAGTCTTTAAAGCCCTAAACTCCCGAAGCACCAAAACCTTAAACTGCCTGGGCCTGGGCCTAAGCCTGTCCTAAACGCTAGACACAGAAACCTCAAGGAGTCCAGAGGACTTCAAGGAGGAGTAGCCCCGAGCTCGAGAGAAGCAGATCAAGCCGGCCAGGCCGGTCGAGTTCTTTTGAGTGCTTTATTAACTTTTTTAATTAGAGTCAATTAGAGTCTTTAGAGACTTTAGAGTCTTTAGAGCTGAATTCAGCTAAATACCATTCAATACAACACAATTACAATTACAAATAATTACAATCAATGAATCAGTTCAATACAATTCAATACAATGTCAATACAATATTCAATATTCAATAACTAGTCAATAGTTCCAATCGGCAACGGCAGGAGGGTGCATTGGTTAGTCTGGAATCGTCTACGGCCGCCGCGGCTATGGATCCTGGAGCACTGCAACTCAACAGGATAAATGTCCTCCGGGAGCTGATGAACAGACAGCGACTGAAGCAGGTCAAGAAGCAGCAGCTGGCTGTCATAGGGGGAAAAGGACCTAGGCCACCGATGCAGCTGAAGAGTGCCGGGCAGCGTGGCTACAAGATGTTTTCTCGTGGTTCGAAGCCAGAACGTGGCGCTTGGTCAGCTCGTCTGCACTTGGCGAAGGCCAGAAAGCTGAAGTACAGCAACGAGGTGTGTCTCGGATGAATGCATGATATTATGTTTTGTAAGTTTTGTGGTTTTGGTTTGACAAGGGTTGTTTCCTAGTTATGGTTCAAAGTTCAAAGTTTATTAAATTATTAACTTATTAAGACTTATTAGATTATTAATTCAAGCAAGTAAACTTGCCAACTGGTAGATAAGCGTAGTAATGTAGTAACGTAGTAAGTGCAGTAGTTACGAACAGTATTGAAGTAACGGACTAAGTCAATAGGTACTAAGTCTAAGTAAATACTTTTTTTAACTGTAAAATTAGATTCGCATCAAGGAATGTACTATCGTTGCTGCAGCAGCTTCAGCGACGAAGCAACCATGAAGGTGTGAACAAGATCAGGCTTTTTCGGCGTGGCCGTCTGTTCAACCGACATGGTGTGGCGAGCGTCAGTGTGCTCAAGCTTCGTGCAAGTGGCAACCGCTTCAGCAGCACTTACTCGATGGCAGCTTTCCTGAAAGCTGCCTTCGGTGAATGTCAGCAGCGGTTGAAGTCACTGCGCGGAAAGCGCCTGCGCGGTGTTACGGCGGCTGCGATTGCCATGCAAGCATCGCCAGCGACTGTAACGACGATGCGCTTCGTTGTGGCTGGTGCCTTTATGGCACGGCAGGCCCACATGCTGGCAAGAATCTACACGATGTGTCTCGCAAAGCCACCTCTGTTTGCGGGCACAAGGACCTGTTTCGACGAAACGAGCCAAGTGGTGGTTGCTGGCTCGCGTCAGACTGGTCAGGGCCAGGGTGAGAAAGCAGCTCACCAAATCATGGTCGTCAAGAAGACGCTGTGTCTGGTGTGGGCAGACCAAAATGGTCAGCTGGCTGTTTTCCAGGTGCCCCTTGAAGCTTGGCATTGGATTAGTGATAACAGAACTTTTCTGTGGGGTTCCGGGTTACAACCTTATGTAACTTGACTTTATTATATCTATAAAATTTAGGAAATACTTAGTCTTCTGCTCCTCCTCGGTGGATTGAACGGTTTGAGGCCGTTCACGGTTTCCGGGGCGAGGGGTTTAAGTCAGTTCAAGTTTAAAGTTTAAAGTTTAAAGTTTCAAGTTTCAAGTTGAGGCTAACGGTTATTGTTGGTAAAGTTAAAGTTGGTTGAAGAATTACTTTTGCGGCTTTGCGGTTTGCAGTTTCAGGGTCAAGAGTCGTTTTTTTGGGGGTGTATGTTTATGGTTTATGTACAGTAATGCTTAACAGTTGACTTAACAGAATAAAAACAATGATCAATAGAATCAATACAGTACCAATGTTAAAAGCTTAGAGTCTTAGAGTCTTAGAGAAAACCGCATCAGCTCGAGGTATGCCCGCCTCTGCTGCTGGTGTCTCCGTCAGCCGACCACATCTGGTGGGCTCTTCGCAACCACCCGTGCCTGCACAGCATCAGGTCCTTCGAGGAACTTATCCTGGCTACCGCGCAGCACCCGCTCCTGCTTTCGGAATGTGACAACGCCACCGCAAATGTGCGTCTGCACCACCACCACATGCGTATGGTTGAAGATTCTGGCAAAAAAACGTTGGTGGAGAATATCTTCTGCCATTCCCACCAAACTGCGCTGGTGGAAACCGCAGCAGTGACTCACACTGATGAACGAATGATATCTTCGTTTTTTCTCACTGACACACTTCCTGCAGGCATCCACACACTGGCCAAAACTGAAAACAGCGGTGCGGAAGTACATCGTGGACAACGCAGAGATAGTTGTTGTGCAGGATAAGGTTGCTGCACCGATGTACAACCAGGAGCTATGCTCCATGCTGGCCCACTCTCGCTTGAGCGGCGAGACCGAGGACAGTTCAGATCCTGGTATGGCCGACTTCCTTAGCATGTGGAATGGGCCTTTGCATGTGCAGGCTGGTGGACAGTGCAAGTTGCAGCACTACTGTTCGGGCTGCTGTTCCAGTGCCATCCAAGCAAAGGATAAATTGGCGAGCGCCTATATCCGCTTCGTGATGTCTCGGCTGCCAGAAACCCCTGCTCCTGGACACTTTGCGGATATTTGTCATGCTCAAAGTTTCAGCACTGTAAGTTTGTAAGTCGAGCCCTTCCTTACTTGTTTCTCTGGATTTATGGATTGATTTATGGCAAATTTATGGTTTCGAAGGCAAATGGACCAAGCTCTGGTCGTCGCTCGCCTTCGTCGTCTGTGGCATTGGGGCGGCTGGAATGCTGTATCATGTACTTCCGCTTTGGCTGGAACCACTGAGGGTGTTTCATGCCTTGGCAATAGTAATTCAATAGTAATACTAAATACTAATAAGGCAAGGTTTAATAAGTCTCTATACTATACATTTTAATAAATTAATAAATGATCAAAAATCAAAAATAATACAATACAATACTCAATACACTAGTCAAACTACAAATTTGTTGTGGGTAGTGGACAGAGTAAGTTTCGATTGCATTTTTACAGGCCCAGGTAAATTATCTAGCCAGACCTGTGCACAGAGTCGTGACGCAATGCCTGCTGGCTGAGGCTACGCCAGCAGGACGCAGGCGGAGGACAGGGCGGTGATGACGAGTTGGATCAGCGGCGAGCTGGGCTACCGCTTGAAAGTGCTGGCTCTTGTGGACGAGCCTATTCGCTTCTTGACGTTCGATGCTTGTTCGGCATTAATCATAAATCATTAATGACATTAACAGAACAACTAGCCCCAGCTTCCCCAACATATTCAACTAAGACTATAACTATAACTCCATAACTATACTACTATATTAATTACTATATAATTACTATAACTATACCTACACTAAGGGCTTATACTTATACTAATTACTAAGGCTACTAAGGCTTATACTATTAATGAACATGGTAAGCTGTAAAACGCCTGCTGACCTGGTCTTCAGAGATAAAAAGGCTAACGGATAACGGTCGGATACCGGGTGTGTTGAGCCCAGGCATTTCTGAGATCTACCAGCACCGCCACAGTGAAAGCTGCTCCGCTGCTTATGGATATGGTCCTTGCCAGCTGCTCACCCCTTCTTGCCAGCCAGCAATATCTGTCTTCTTTGTTGTTCGGAGTTGACAATGCTCGGCTATGTTTGCTGTATGAAGCGGACGGATACTCGGAGCTTGAAGCTTTCGAAGAGGCAGAGCCGATGAAGGTTCGCACACTACGTCGCATGGTGCTCTTGGTTACCTCCTGGATCCAGGTGCGTCACTGTGACAAGCTGGAGGCACCACCATTCAACTTGGTGGCTGTTGCTGATGGTCGGGCAGACGAGGCAACCACTGCTTCTGTCCTGCGCAAGTGGGATGATACTCCTGCCTGCTGCTTGCGCCCTGGCATGGCAAGAACGCTGAAGGAGCGGGGTGTCTGCGGCGAGGATTTCCGGAGCTCAGAGAAACATGGTGGCAGCAAACTTCAACAAACTGTTCAACAATCCTATGAAAGGGCTTTTGCAGATGTTTTTTTCTATGCTAGTGGTTACCAAGGGTGACTTGTCTTCTACTCTAGTCTTAAATTAAGTCTTAAACTTGTCTTGACTTTAGAACTTTAGGCTTACTTTTGATAATGCCAGTACACACCACTACTACTAGCATGTGTGAGGTATCGAGCGTTGCTGACTGGATTTTCAGTGCTTGCGACTTTGTCCATTGCAGACGCCGAAAGAAAGCATGGGCACCACAAGCAGATGGGGCTGGTTCATTTCGGAAGCATGTGTGCGCAGAGCATCAATGAAGAGGCTCAGGCACATCACGTAGCTTGGCTAGCCAGATAGTAATATAGTTTTGTTTTAATAATTTACTAAATTCAATAATTTAACAGTATATAGTATATAGTATATAGTAGTCGAGTATAGAGTCTATAGTCTAGAGTCTAGAGTCTAGTATAAAGTAGTGTGAGTAGTGAGTAGAGTAGAGTCCTGAGTAGAGTCTAGAGTCTAGAGTCTAGAGTCTAGAGTCACGGAGATGTTTTAAAGTGAAGAGATTTCCGTAAGTCAAGTTTTGCAATTCGGGTTTGGGCCCTAGCCCTATTAAATACGCCACAAGGTGAAGCTGCAGTCGGAGGTTTTTCGGCGATGCGGACAGAAACGCCAGGCGGCTTTGAGCAAGCCCTCTGCAAGCGAGGCTGGCTCAGCCTTTGCCAGTGGTTTGCATATGTTTCGCAATGACTATATCCGGCAGCAAACTGGCCAGGGTGTGTCCAGGAATTGGATGTCGAAGGACGCATTCCGTCAGTGGCACTGTGTCATGTGCGTCGGTTATGTCCAGTGATCCATGAGTCTTTCTGAGTATCTGAGTTGAGTGGACATGACGACCTAATGACCCAAACCTAATGACATCGGTTGTTTTCATGCCTAAAGGAGTCCTGGAACATTGTCAAGACAGAGTACGCTGCCCTGGCTCCTGCAAACAAGGCTTTTTGGGATGCCCAAGCCGCCCGTGCAAAGTCAACCGCCCGGATGGTGCGGCAAACCGAGAAGGCGGTGGCCAAGGAGAAAGCAGCAGCGAAGGCGCAGCAACGTCAGCTGGGCCACGATGCGATTTCAGGCTCTGTGTCTGCGACTGAGACCAGGCTGAAGCTTCCAACCGCCCCGGGCGTGCCTTTTATCTTCAATGCCTCCATTTGCGAGGCGGACGCTCGACGCTTGACAACCCAGACATCCAGCGTGTCTAGGTTTTTCGGCCACCTGACAGAAAAGTACGAGCAGGCTACTGCAAGCGAGGAGGAGGCTTCAATGTGGCCACTGACGGAGTCGAATATCTTGTCTTCGCTGCTTTCTTTGAAGTGCAGAGGCAAGACCTTGAAAGACGCCGTGCAGCAAATCAACAAGACATCGAATGCTGTTGCTGGGCCGCGTTCTGTTGATGATCGAATTCCTGGCAAGGTCAAGTATTTTGCTACGTGCCCGGGAGTCTGTTTGAACAGCTGCGAGTCTGGTGCGCTCATCTTGTACAGGAAGGTCGTCTCGACGCTGAATGAACTCTGCAATGGATTCTCGTCCGCCGCTGAAGCTGTTCGGTCGGACATGCTGTTGCGGATTACTTCCAAGAGCGGAGCTCGCTACAGCCAGGACAGATATTTCTTGTTGGCCAGCATGGCATTTCAAGGAGGCGTTTAAGTTTAAGTTTAAGTCGTTTAAGTTTAAGTTTAAGTTCAGGTCAAGTAAAACATTTTTTGCATTCTACATTCTTCTACATTCTACATTGTTAACCTCGTGCCTTGGATTCTTGTGTTATGTCTGCGCAGCCCAGGCAAGCAGCCCCGGGTGCAATGCTACGCGCAAATGGACAAGGTTCAGATGCAACCATTGCATCTTTGTCTGATGAAGCAGGCCCCTGTGCAACAGAGTGTGCCCTGGCACGAGCCCATGGATCGTGGCAGCAGAGGCAATCACGGCAAGATTGAAACTTGCACGGCAGAGCAGCTGGTGGCCAAAGTCATTTTCATTGAGGAGGATTGGTTCGCACCTGTGCCGGCTGCAGAAGTGGTTGTCAGACCATTGCGGTTCCAGGATGTTTCCAGGTCTGTTGTGCATGTGACTGGTGCGCTGCCGCAACAACATCGCCTGACGGATTCACCAGACGAGGGCGAGGAGGGCGAGGGTGAGATGGAAGACCGGGCTGATGCGGATTCTGCCCCTGCAGCTGTGCGTCCAAACCCAGCACCACCTGACCCACAGCCACGTGCCCGGAAGGGTAAGAAAGAGCCAAAAGAGGGACTGTTTGACCCCTCGGAGTTTCGCGAGGAGCTTCTGTCGGAACTGCTTTCGGCGCTCGATGTTCCGATTGATCCAGACAAACCGCTGCAAGACTACGATGGCCTGCTAGATCCGACGCAGTTGGAAGGCCTGGCGCGGTTGGACTCCTACTGTCGGCGAGAGGAGAACCAGGCGATCGAGAAGAACGACAAATCTGTGTCCTGGCAATTGTTTCAATTGTTGACTCTGGTTATTTTTTTTGCATTTTACCTTTCATACTAGTCACTAGTCACTAGTCAGTCAGTAAACAGTTTAGTAACAGTTTCGTGTAACAAGTTTAGTATAGTTATAGTTAGTATAGATATAGTATAGTAATAGTAACTACATAGTATCTTAGTATAGTAACGTAACTAAAGTAGGCGGAGACCGGCGCGGCTGATGATGTCGAAGCCGAACTGGATTTGGGACATCGTGCAGCCAATGCTTTTTTGGACAGCGTCTCCCAGGCCCCGCCTACTGCTGAGTTTGACGACTGTGTGTTCGGAGATGCGGGAGCATGCGCCGTCGCCCGGAGAGCCCAGAGACAGCCAACACCCAGTGGCGAAGGCGCTGCCGGTCACGAAGTGGCTGCTCCTGATTCCGGCGGGCAAGGCACGCTGCAGCAGCTGTTTGAGGACTTGTTACAGGAGCACGGCCCCATGAACGCTGCATCTGCATCAAGCAACGGCGGCGGCATTGGTCAAGCGCCGTTTCTGGAAGTGCATGGCTCCTTTGCAAGCATGCTTGCTGGCGCTGACAAGGTGTTTCTTGGCTGACTTTTGAACCCCTCCCAAAAGTTAAAGTTAAACTTCAGTTAAACTTCAGTTAAACGTTAAACAGTTAAACTTGTAGCATCCTTATCATATAGTTACTGAGAATTAGTGTATATTATATATTTTGAAAAAAAGTTAATATTAATTATTAATTATTAATAGAGTCCTAAGAGTCTAATAGCCAACCAGAAGAACACCAAGGTTTAGTCTGCAGACTGGCTTCGTGAAGCTACGAGACAACATCAGCGAGGATAGCAAAGGTACAATCGCTGAGGTGTTTGCAGACAGCGGCTGCCAAAGCCGGTTGGGCGCCATTGGAAGTGTCACTCCTCTGCGGGAAGCACGAGGACTGAAAGCCACGTGTGACCAGCACAAGGAGAAGGGCCAAAAGCAGTGTTTATGCTGGATCAATTTGAGCAAAGAAGAATTGTCCACAGGGCCCAATGAGCACCGTTGGCGAATTTTTCGGACAATGGTGGACTGGTTGGCAGACGGCGGCACTGTGGACGCCGAGCGGCACATGGAGTCCTCGCAAGTTTTGCGCATGGCAGCTGGCATGACTCCGAGAGGATTCAAGTGATTCCTCCAGGCGGGTGGGTTTCGTTGTTTTTGTTAGTATTCAATATTCAATAGTCACCATCAATAGTCCAGTCGTCAAGACTCCTTAAGGTCCCTAACAGTGCTTGGGCAAATCGTGAGAGTGATGAATGTGCTTGGCTGTCCTGGAGCGGGTACGTGCTAAGTCGAGAAGAGTCTCCCAGTAACTACTTCACGTACTTAACTTGCATAACTACTCAACTACTCCACTCCAATTCTAACTCCTCTACCAGGCCGCGCCGTCTTCTCTGACGGCTACCCCGCTGCCAACCGGGAGCAGCTCGACTCGAAGGTCCATGTGCCCAGGCGACAAAGGTCTAGGACCCTAGTGACTAGTAACTAGTGACTGTTGAGGCATGGCACAGGGAAGGCCATATGGCATATGGCATATGGCATGGCATAGGCATATGGCATATGGCATAGGGCCTAGGGCATATGGCATATGGCATAGGGCCATAGGGCATAGGGCCTAGGGCCTAGGGGTTTAGTACAGGGCAGTACAGGGCATAGGGCTTTCACAAACGTGCTGAGCAGTAGGAGCCCGCATGGTCAGAAACTTAAACGAACTGCCATAGACTTCGAGTGGATTGCAATTGCATTCAACATTCATTCCATGTTCAATATTCCAAAAACTCCAATAGTCATAACGGCCCATAAGCACTTAAGACTTGAGGGCCAACCTTAAGCCTTAACTTAAGCCATATGCTATATGCCATTAGAGTTTCGAGTCAGTGCAGTTGAGCCAATTGCCGAGGTTTCCGGGTTGCCGGCTGCCACCGAATCCTTGTCAGTGGATGCCCTGCAGGACCGTGCGGTGCATGCGGATTGAACATGTCATTTGAATCAATCACGTGTTGCTTCCTTCGTAGTAACGATCTCCAATGTGGCCACCTGGTCGACACAGCAAAGTAGGTAGGCGAAGGCAGCAAAGTGGATCCACGTGCCGCAATGTTACCGCTGCTACTGCTGACATGTGACGATGCAGATGTCTAAGCTCCGGCCCAAGAGCGTGTGTGGGACTTCTTTTAAGTGCGGGGTTGTCCTTTGAGAGTCGCATGCCTCCTCGCTATGGCCGCTATGTCAAGCGCCGGTGCCGGCGCTGCTGATGTAGTGGACAGAGGCACCAAGCGGAAAGGGTGGTCTCGGGTATAACTTATAGAGTCTATGTTTAGTTTAGAGTTTAGAGTTTAGAGTCGTCTGGAGTCTAGAGTCTAGAGTAGAGTCTAGAGTCTAGAGTCTAGAGTCTAGAGTCTAGAGTTAGACTTTTGGGCCTGTTTTGAGAGCCTAGAGTTCAGAGTTTAGAGCTAGAGTTTAGAGCTTGGAGTTAACAGTTAGAGTTAGAGTCAGAGTTTAGGAAGTTTAGGGCTTAGGGGTTTAGGGTTTAGAGTCTAGACTCGACGAAGCAGCCTCTCCTTCTCATTCAGAGGCGCTGCAGAAGCAGCCTCGCCTTTGTTGGGCGTTCCTTTGCCCGAACATGTCTGTACTGCAGCTAGTCCTCTCAAGCCTGACAACACGCTTGGTAGTTGCAAGCCAATGGCCGAGATGTTGTGCCCGGTGTGCAATGAGCTCACCTGGAAGTGGGCACCTTCGCAGAAGGCCGCTGGCAACCCACGGGTTGGCTGGGTCTACTCATGTCGCACCTGCAGACTTCGGAACAGAATGCATCCCTGGGCTGGCTACCATGTGAAGAGGTTCTGGCAGTACTTCCAACACCTTGACCTCGACGTCATCAGGACCGCCGTGGACGATTACATGACTCGTCACACAAAATCATGCCACGATGATTTTCACGACAGGTTCAACCTGGATGTCGGCAATGGGGTGGGGTCCCTTGGGCTAAGGCTTGTCCATCCCACCATTGCCAGGGACTGGACTATCCTCGCACAAGGCAGGTTTATTGAATGCTTCCTGGCAGACTGCAGAAACATCCAGATCCGACTCGTCATGGTCAACTTCCTGTACCACCTTCACGAGGCGTGCGTACTAACAGGCATGGACAGCTATGATGTTCAGCAATCACGCAGCGCTGATGATGTTTGAAACTACTTTCTGCGAGGACGGCAGCGTGAAGCAGAACTTTTGGGCGGGCAATAGACGAGACCTTTGGCCTGGGGTCCTGGAATTGCTGCTCTTTGCGGCAGATTTTACCTGCTGCCTTGGCTTCGCATCTGCGCTGGCCTGGCTCGGACATAAGACAGCCATGGCGCCAAAACCAGTTTTTCGCAGATGATACAGCCCGGAATTATGAATTTGCTTGCAGCGGCTGGCGGCTGGCAGGTTGATCAACTCAAACCTGTCGCCTACTGCCTGCTTGCCCGGTATCTGAGCGACCGACCCATAAAGTTAAGAAAATGCCACCGTCAGGCTTCTGGGTGCGAGTTTGATTCGTTTTCGAGTCTGATATCCGGTTGAGGTGGAACTGGATTTCGATCATTATTATTCTGAGACAGGACCGAATCTGCAGGTTGAGGGTGCGAGTTGGTTTGCGAATGGACGAACGGTTCCTGGCTCTCGGCATGCGGCTGACTCATTGATTGGACTGAAAGCATGGCTGCTAGTGACGTTAGCGAATGTCATTCACTCATGTTGAGCTGCTGCTGACATGAGTGCCGCATGCTTGCTCCTGTAGTGACTGATCACAGCTCCAGAGGCAGCCCCAGCAGCAGGTCGTAAGCTAAATTGCAGCTAGCAGCTAAATTTAAATGATTCGTCTTTCCTTGGCAGGCAGCACCTTGAATTCCGATCGATGGTCCATTTCTGCATGGGTCTGCGGAAGGCCAGGGCTGAGTGATTGGGTGTTTCGACATTCGACGTACTTTTGATTCTCTTTGGACTCTGGACCTTTGTGGGGGAGAAGTCAGGGAGCCAGGGAGTTAGGGAGCGATGAGTGACGGAAGCCTCTTTAAGCCTCTTTAAGCCTTTAAGACTTTAAGATCTTAAGCCAGCCTTAAGCCTTCAGCCTTAAGCCTTAAGTCTTAAGCCAAGCTTTAAGCCTTTAAGCCTTTAAGCCTTTAAGCCTTTAAGCCTTTAGCCTTAAGCCTTAAGCTTAGCCCGGGTCCTATGAGGGCTGTTGATGTGGTCCACACAGATGTTCATAAGTCATAACCTACTGCAGAAGTACGTATGACATGTTCCCTCCTGCGTCCGTTGTTCCATCAGATGCCAACGTCTTTCATATCGCTGGCTTTGGCTTAGGTCACAGTCACAGCATGCACATAAGACATGGTCATCGGCAGTCATCGGCTTTCAATGTGCAGTGTCAAGACAGGCTACAGCTTGAAACTTCTGAAGGCTGTAGATTTGTAGATCTGTGAGAAAAGAAGTGACATCGCCGTGCGAGGGTTGATGGTTTCTTGTGGCGACTCCTGCTGAGTGTTGCAGTTGCTTAAGACCACTGGGACTGCTCGTGACTGCTCCTTGCTTTATCAGTTCGATCCTGAACAACAAGTTCAATGGAGGCAGACGGTGGTAGTGGTGGCACGACCTCTACTACGTCTACCGACGGGCTGCAGAACAACCAGCTAGGCCTCATGCAAGCCGCTAGTCACTGCTAGTCCGAAGTTCCGAAGTTTGCCCCACACCCTGCCCCTCAACTAACATAACTTAACTAACTAGTAACTATAGTAACTATACTATACTATAATAATTTAATATAATATTACAATAATTAATAATATAATAACTGTTAATAACTATAACTATAAATAACTATAATTATCTGAATCTCAACTAACGTAACTTAACTAAACAAAACTAACTAAACCCTCGTTCGTTTAGGGCAGTTTAGGTTTAGGACGAAGTGAAATAAGGAGCCAGACGCTCATCTAGACGATGGTGGCGCGACCTCGGCTACCTCCTTCTGCCTCATGACAG